ATAAGAGATGTCCTAATGTTGTTTTCGGTCTCAATAGACGAAGTCTAATGTTAGTGGCAGTACTCCACTCTTGAAGGGTCGCGGATATTGAAAAATTGTCTGCACTCGGCCTACCATTCAGTAAAGAGACTGCAATCTAGAAAATAAATTCATTTATTATATAATGAATTCAATGCGTGTCATATGGAAAATACTTCTCCGCCTTCTAAGGGAACCACTTTCGAGAATCTGGTCTCACATAACACCGAATCGTCTTTAATAATGGGTCCCAACGATGAGTGACCAAAATAATAGACACAGTCTTAACATAAGAAATGTTATTGTAATCACATGTAATCACTCATTAAACTATGGCTTATAGTAAACCTCCCGGTGTATCAGCAAAATATTGCCATGGTCCATAAGTTCGACCATAATCGCGGGATCTTTCCAGGGCCCAAACCCCAGGTCTGGGGGCGTTACCCATCTTAATGAACACATAGGCCACATTGAATTCCTGAGTTATAATTACATCATTAGAAAATATTACATATATTAAAATAATTTATATGTTTGTTAAAGATATTTAATAATTAATCTATAATACTTCAAATATATTTTTATATTACTGTACTTGTTGTATTTTAGAAATTAAAGTAAATTACATAAGTATTGTAAATTACTTTTAAATGTTGATTAATTTTTAAAATATAATTTTAATTCTAAATTATATTAAGATGGTTAAAAATGTTAATAAATTTGACTAAAACTCTGTCTATTTTTACAATAACTTTATCACTTACGTCAACATTAACAATTATTTTAGATCTCGGTTCCTCTTATCCATATCTTTTTAGTGATATGTGATATACTTTTATTTAAATTTGATTTTAAGTTTTTATCCAATAAAAGTGGTCAACTGATCATATGGACTATACTTATTCAAAAATTTCAGATTGCCCACGAGGTATTTATTAACATTCCGGTGGTTTTTGCTTTTTATAGATTATAAACTATAATTGGTCCGAAAGTTTTATTTTTATCACTACTTAATTATGCTCATAAGCAGCAGAAAAGTGTTGGTTTTAACAATAACTGTAAATTATACTGTATATAAAAAGTATTGAATATTAAATTATCTAAGAGCATCATAACTTTAATTCGTGCAACATGTATTTTATAAAGGCTGACTATAGATAAACATAAAACTGTAATTTGATATTCATTTTGAACACAACACTCCACAGACCACTTTTTAATGATTTAATTACAATTAATTTGATTAAAAATAAAATCAGTATTTGTGTAAGTTTTATACAGTGCAACCTTTACAGAAGAACCATTATAAAGGAAACTTTTGCTCATTAAATCATTTACTGTACGTTGAATTTATTGTATTGAACGGTACAGTTATGAGATCATAAGCTCTATAGAATCATCTTCACTAGAAACATAAACAACGGATTTATAAATCCGCCAAACTTTTGTAACCTTGTTTAAATTAAATGTTTAAAATAATTATATAAAACATAATATAGAATTGAAACTTTATTAGACAACAATACATACAGTTCTAGTTTCCATTCTAGACCAGACAATTGTAAGGCCGAAGTATTCCTCACCCGATGAGTCCAACCTTCGGAAATATTTTGAAACAAACAAATACCTAAATAATTTTTAATTTATTGTCATGGTCTGAGATTTGTGGCAAACATTTGTTTTATGTTTATAATCTATGTAATCTACCATTTTAAAACTCATAATTAACTCATATTTTAATGACCGCCACATAAAATTCCCAAAGTATTTCCAAAGGTCGAATCTTCGGATAAAGAATCTTCGGTGGTACAATAGTCTGGCGGATTTATAAATCTATTCGATATTTGATTTGAGATACATTATGATAATATTCTGATACCACATTAAATTTAAGTTGATACAAAAAACTAAATAATAAACAATATAATAAAATCAACGTCACTTTATTTGTATAAATTTTTAAAGTAATTCATATCTTAAGTTTGGTCATAGACTTAACATACAGTAGAATCTCATGTTATTTGCCATACATGGGAGAGGAAAGTAGTACTGTTCTGGAAATTATAATACGATATAAACCATAATTTTAATATTACCGTAAATAGAAGTTAAAAACATTATTCCTGTTATTCTACATATTTAAATATTCTCATTAATTTTTTAATTCACTTATTTAACGATTATTTAATATAATTATAATTAACTTAATATTCTCTTATTTTTAGTATAATGTTTAGAATCTAAATTTTAGATTATTATTTGTAAACTTTAAAAAAGTGATTATTATGATTATTATTTGGATAATATATCATTATATTGCAAAAGAATCCGAATTAATTATCTCAATAATATATTATGTTTAATATATAAGTTAACTACATTAGTTAACTGTATTATTTTATTAAATTTAATTAAATTTTAAGTTTTAATATGATAAGCAATTATTAAAGTTTGAATTAGTTTTGAATTTGGAATTTTAATTGCAATATAAAGTTTTTAGTTTGTAAGTTTAATGGCATACAGTATAATAATATAACAGTTATATCCTTATCCTTATAACTTTATAAGCTAATGACACCAAATGTTAGATAACAGTAATTAGATTTTTAATATCACATTATACTTTACTGTATATCAAAGTAATTATTTAAACAAATATATCAATAGATTTGATAGATTTTCACTAAATATTTAATGTATAGGAATTAAAATAAGTGAATTAAAAAATTAAAGATTAATAAAATGCTAGTTTCAAGTTCAAGACTTTGGTTAACTATAAAATATGGATATAAAGCATTGAATACAGCATTGAATAGTGTATAACGAATTGAAGTGATGTATGTCTACGAGACATACCATTACGACAACTAATGAAACAAAAGTGAAGATTTAAGACTCAAAGAAAGCTGACATTTGGGGTTATTTTTGGCACACATTCACTGTTCGTAAATAAAGTTCTTTAGACTTGTCTCTCGTCAGGCGTGGTCTTCGAGTCTGTTCTGCATTACGTTATACACAAATACTGAAGGACTGCATACACTATATGAGTGTTTGAATGTATTTCTCTGTCCCATACTATTTATACAGATTATAGTGAAGTCCAACCAAATGCTCTCTAAAACAGTTAATAACTTTTCCAATGAATAGCCCGTCCTTTCAAACACACGGGTTTAGAATTACACTTTTGGAGCCCAAGAGAGACGTATAGGAGTGAGAGAAAGGAAAGAGAGAGTTGAGGTGCACTGCAAAGTGCATTATATTTGCATTATATTTGTGCCAAACTCTCAATAAAGTTACGATGAGAGACAATGTTATAATCAGGTGCTCAACAAACTGGCTTTTGGTTATACTCATAACCGGTTCACTTATTCTATACGATTCAGTGAACGGCCAGGTTCTCAATCCACCGTATTTTAACCTAGCTGAGGGACGCAATGTATGTTCAATCCATCATTTCATCAATATCATTTTTATATAAAGCTATATTATTTACACTATATGTTCGTATAACTAAATATTCAGATAAGTTCGACCGCAACTTGTGGTGAGAATGTACCCGAACCTGAGCTATACTGCAAACTCGTTGGATCCAATTGGTTGGACAAACCCGACAACGTTCACATCAACTTAATTCAAGTTTGGATATTCATGTGTTGTGTTTCGCAGAGTATTAACCGTTTTCTCATTGATTGGTCAAAACTAGGGCCAGGCCTGCGATTTTTGTGATCCCAGTGATCAAAATCGCGCGCATCCGCCACAATATGCTATCGACGGCACAGAGCGCTGGTGGCAGAGCCCACCCCTCTCTCGAGGAACCAAATACAACGAGGTCAATTTGACCATTGACTTGGGACAAGTAAATCATTCATTTTTATATTTATTATTTTATTTGTGAAACTCGATCTAATTTGAGATAAATTTATATATTATTAGAATTGTATTTAATATAAAATGGAGAGAGTTGTTCTGTTTTCCAAGAAGTAAGAAAAGCATGGATTCAGTCGTTATNATTTGGTTCCTCGAGAGAGAGAGAGAGAGAATAATTATTGGGAGGAAATAAAAAACTAGAATTGAATGTAAGAATAAAAGGATGTATAGGTTTGCCTAATAAGCAAAAGTTGAAGCAATATTGTGGTAAAAATGTATTTATAGCGAGTACTGGACTGTACTGTACTAACAAAGTAACGACATGTGTATATGAAGTTAAAGTTTAGTTTTATAGAGTGCTTTCATAACGACTGAATCCATGCTTTTCTTACTTCTTGGAAAACAGAACAACTCTTATCTGATTTGTTCTCAAGGATTATAAAACACTTATATTAATAATTATGAAAATTGAGTCTAATTTATGAAATTAATTTGTAATTTAACTACAGATTGCATTAAAAGCTTATTAGCTTTGTATCAAATAGTAAACCATAAGTTATAGAATAATTGTTAAACAATGTTGAAAATAATTCTGTTTTCGTTTATCAAAACTTTTGCGATAAGTTTAGCTATTTTTATATAAAACACAAACTGTGAGAACTGCCAGCTCTCAAAGCAATTGTTTATTTTAAAAGTTATAACATAAACATCAATACTTAGCAGACATTTGGAATATTTTATAATATTAGAAATAATAATAATTCACATATTTTTCAATATATTAAATGATATATTGTATATCCCATTAGGATTTCCAATGGTCTGAGTTTTAAGATCAATTCATTTACTGGAGTTAAATCAAATTGAATTTAAATGCTTTCCAATTATTTTGCACTGATTTTCCAAACAAACATTTTTTTGATTGATTAATTATAATCTAAATTTGTTTTATAAATCGTTAATATAATTAATTTTAGTATTATTAATCATGACAGTTTTATGTTTATCTATAGTCAGCCTTTATAAAATACATGTTGCACGAATTAAAGTTATGATGCTCTTAGATAATTTAATATTCAATACTTTTTATATACAGTATAATTTACAGTTATTGTTAAAACCAACACTTTTCTGCTGCTTATGAGCATAATTGAGTAGTGATAAAAATAAAACTTTCGGACCACTTATAGTTTATAAATTATAATCTATAAAGAACAAAAACCACCGGAATGTTTATAAATGCCTCGTGGGCAATCTGAAATTTTTGATTAAGTATGGTTTATATGATCAGCTGGCCAATTTTATTGAAAAAAAAACTTAAAATCAAATTTAAATAAAAGTATATCAATAAAAAGATATGGATGAGAGGAACCGAGATCTAAAATAATTGTTAATCTTGTCGTAAGTGATAAAGTTATTGTAAAAATAGACTGAGTTTTAGTCAAATTTATTAACATCTTTAGCCATCTTAATATAATTTAGAATTAAAATTATATTTTAAAAATTAATATCAACATTTAAAAGTAATTTACAATACTTATGTAATTTACTTTAATTTTTAAAATACAACAAGTACAGTAATATAAAAATACATTTGAAGTGTTATAGATTAATTTTCAAATATCTTTCACAAGCATATTAATTATTTTAATACATGTAATATTTTCTAATAATGTAACTGTAATCATAACCCAGGAATTCAATGTGGCCTATGTGTTCATTAAGATGGGTAACGCCCCCAGACCTGGGGTTTGGGCCCTTGAAAGATCCCGCGATTATGGTCGAACGTATGGACCATGGCAATATTTTGCTGATACACCGGGAGGTTTACTATAAGCCATAGTTTAATGAGTTATTACATTTGATTACAATAACATTTCCTATGTTAAGACTGTGTCTATTATTTTGGTCACTCATCGTTGGGACCCATTATTAAAGACGATTCGGTGTTATGTGAGACCAGATTCTCGAAAGTGGTTCCCTTAGAAGGCGGAGAAGTAATTTCCATATGACACACATTGATTTCATTATATAATAAATGAATGCATTTTCTAGATTGCAGTTAGAAATGACTTACCATCCGGCTCACGTCTGTTAAAAAGTTATAGGCGCTGGGAAGTTCTCACCTCATGACGGTGATTGTAATCTGAAGCAGATAACTCTGGCTTTTGTTGTAATCCTGTAGAGAATACGGTCGCCCGACAGGACCCGACAGTTACCCGACGAGTAATTGACACAATTTGAAAGCGAAATTGAATGAAATATTAATTAAAACATTTATTTCAGTACTTTTATTCGATAAAAGACATAAACATTGGCGGCCGTTGTGTATGCAATGGTCACGCGTCTCAATGCGATCAAATAGATCCCAACGATCCGTATCGAGTGAGCTGTAGCTGTACTCGCAATACGTGTGGCAATCAGTGCGAGAGATGTTGTCCGGGATATATGCAGAGGGAGTGGAGACGCGCCACCATTAATATCCCGTTTGCGTGCGAGAAATGCAATTGTTTTAGTCATTCAGAAGAGTGTTATTACGATAAGGAAATGGACAAAAATCGACTCAGTCTTGATATTAACGGCAAATATAATGGCGGAGGAGTTTGTGTTAATTGCCGACACAATACCGAAGGCATAAATTGCAATAAATGTAAATCAGGATTTTATCGGCCCAGGAATAGACCCATCGATGCGCCCGATGTGTGCGAACCATGTAATTGTAATTACCATTACTCTACTGGCAATTGTACGGAAGGCACGGGACAGGTATGTACTGAACTCTCGCAATCAAATACACGATAATTCAATTCATTGACAATATTTTCAGTGCGAATGTAAACCAAACTTTATTCCTCCACTTTGCGATCGATGCAGGTTTGATATAATCGCTTATTTTATTTTAAACAATAATGTTAACAAAAATAATTGACAATATTTGACTTAAAGTTATGGATATTTCGGTTATCCTGAATGCAAAGAGTGTGAGTGTTTCCCAAACGGGACGCACGGGAATGTATGCGAGCCTAAGGAGGGGACGTGTCCCTGTAGGGAAGGTATTGTACCACTAATACAATAGAAGGTGAAACAAGTGTGAATATTAATCGATGTGTGTTATGTGTGTTTAGGATATTCGGGCAAATTTTGCAAACAATGCTCTGAACGCTACTTCGGATTCCCCGCCTGCGAGTCCTGCAACTGTCACTCAACGCACTCCATATCCAATGTGTGTGACATCGGGTCGGGTCAGTGCCAGTGCGCCAACAGTTACGGCGGACGTCAATGCGATGAATGCGATATTGGTTTCTATGATTACCCCCGATGTCTATTCTGTTCGTGCGATTCCAGCGGCACTACAGACAAAATCTGCGACAACACGACCGGTATTTGCTTCTGTAAGGAGGGCTATGCCGGCGATCGATGCGATATGTGTGCTCCTAATTACTTTGGATTTCCTAATTGTACAAAATGTATGTGCGATGAAATCGGTTCATACGGTCAGGTGTGTGTCCTTTCATTCAATATATTTGGCAATATTTATTCAATTACTTATAATAATATATAACAATTAATGTCTATAGGTTTGTGACACATATGGCAAATGTGTTTGCCGTCAAAACTTTGGAGGACTTAAATGTGGCGATTGTTCTCCAGGTTTGCAATAATCTTATTTTTTAACCTTATTATAATTTCTTATTTAATAAAATTTATATTCTTATGAATTCTTTATATAATTTACATTAAACTTTAGGTTACTATAAATACCCGGAATGTTTGCCCTGTAGTTGCGATTATAGGGGCAGTAATGGTGTTTCGTGTGATTACGCGGGTCGATGTATTTGTGGCGATAGATTTGAAGGTATGAATGAGTGATATGTAATTCACACAAATGTTGAGTAATTAAGTTAATATCCCCTCTTCACGCTGTTTACATCCCTTCCTATGATATTAAAAGGCGCTACACTTCCATACTGACTTATAAACGGTTTTACTTATTAAAGCATATTAATTGTAATGATTGGTTGCATAGAGTGCAATTGCAATCCAGCCGGTTTGGTCGCACAGTTTGGTGGTTGCGATAAAGTACAGGAGGGAAGATTGTGCGAATGCAAACAGAGAGTGACCGGACGGATATGCAATCAATGCAAAGATCTGTATTGGAATTTACAAATCACTAACCCTTCGGGTTGTGAAGAATGTAAGTGCAATCGTAACGGAACTATCAATGGAATCGGTTTATGTAACACAGAATCGGGAGATTGTCGCTGCAAACGCAATGTTAAGGTACAAACATTTATTATTATTGTATTAATATTTAAATATTATTAATTAATTATTATTATATTACATGTATAAATAGGGAAGAGTGTGTGACTCGTGTAAAGACGAGACCTATGGCTTAAGATCTGGAGATGTTTTTGGATGTGTTGGGTATGTCTTGTTTGATTTACATTAAGTGTGTTTACAACTCATTAATTCAATTATAGGGGAGAAGTGCGACAAATGTAGGGAAGGATACTATAATTTTCCGCGATGTGAAGGTATGACTGAATATTTGCCAAAATGAATAATTTCTATATTAATTGTAATGATTGTTTGCATAGAGTGCAATTGCAATCCAGCTGGTTTGGTCGCACAGTTTGGTGGTTGCGATAAAGTACAGGAGGGAAGATTGTGCGAATGCAAACAGAGAGTGACCGGACGTATTTGCAATCAATGCAAAGATCTGTATTGGAATTTACAAATCACTAACCCTTCGGGTTGTGAAGAATGTAAGTGCAATCGTAACGGAACTATCAATGGAATTGGTTTGTGTAACACAGAATCGGGAGATTGTCGCTGCAAACGCAATGTTAAGGTACACACACTTATAATTTAGTACATCTATTATTATTGTATTAATATTTAAATATTATTATTAATTAATTATTATTATATTACATGTATAAATAGGGAAGAGTGTGTGACTCGTGTAAAGACGAGACCTATGGCTTAAGATCTGGAGATGTTTTTGGATGTGTTGGGTATGTCTTGTTTGATATCTTAATGGTTTAATATTTAAACAAAACTATTTTGGTTTATCCTATCACTAGCTGTAACTGCGATTTTGGCGGATCTATTCATTCCGTATGCAATAAGACCAGCGGTCAGTGCTATTGTCGGCCGCGAGTGAAAGGTCTTCGTTGCACAGAACCCATTGATGTGACATATTTTCCGACATTTTATCAATTTCTATACGAAGCCGAGGACTGGCGAAACCCAACCGGTTCTCCGGCGCGGTTTGGATACGACGAGACAGTGTTTGGCAACTATTCGTGGAGAGGTTACGCCACCTTCAATGACCTCCAGAGGGAGATCATCGCCAATATAACTATTCAAAAGCCGAGTATATATCGAGTGATTATTCGTTACGTGAATTTAAACAGTGAGACAATTAGCGGTAGCATAACCTTCACTCCGGCCGAGTCTTTTGGAGAGACACAACAGAGCAGTTCCGTTCAGTTCGACACAACCAAAGAACCCAAACTACTATACGTTACGGGAAAGCCCGGACTTATAATACCTCCTCTCGTCTTAAATCCGGGTCAATGGGAGGCGTCTCTGAAAGTAGACAAAAACGATTTACTCATTGATTACATAGTACTCATACCTCAGGCCTATTTCGATCAAACAGTGGTGAGGGAGAGAGTGTCGAAGCCGTGTAAACTGGACCGACAGCACATGTGTCAACACTACGCTTATCCTGATTTCCCCGACGATAGCTCAGTGGTTAGGGGACAGTCAGCCTTCGTGGTCACTGACGACACCCGCTCTAACGCACAAGTCTTTAATGACGAGACTGTGCTTAAGAAACTTAATTATGAGGGAAGTCTCGCCCTTCTCGACAAACAACATCCCAAAGTTGTAATGGAATTAGCGGTTAATAAACCCAACACTTATGCACTCGTAATCAGTTATCATAACCCAACTATTAATGACATCAAAAACAACGGGTCCGTAGACTTAGTTCTAGAGATCAAAAGACCGAACGTAGAGATAGTAGAAAGGGTTGAGGTGTCGGTCGCCGACTGTCCCTATAGTTTCATTTGCCGACAAATAGTGACCGACAGCGGCGGACAAATCTCTACCTATGAATTAGACTCCATTTTTGTTGAGTTGTCGTTGGGTTTATCTGATTCGGTGCCCGAAGACTATTCGATTGGTTTGGATGCCGTGGCGGCCATCGCTTATCCCGAAAAGTGGTCAATAGATCACTTGACCCCTCGATTTGTTTGCATTAAAAAGAAGGGCGAATGCATGGAATCGGCCTTTTCTATCGTTCCGGAGGCCAACAAAGTATAAATGTTTAAATGTTTGCATTTTGTGAAGCATTTCTAAAATAACTTAATTTTTGCATAAAGATTGAGATGGAAAGGGATCAGAATAGAGACCGTATATCGAGTCGACTGCCGTTTGAAGTGAAAGAACCACTCGAGCCAACACTTCCGCAACTCATTTATCTGGAAGATAAAGAGCCGACGGTTGACATCAGGGGAACAGTTCCGCGGCGAGGATTGTATACATTTGTGTTGCGATATTTTCAACCGGAAAACTCTGGCTTCGAATTGGAGGCAAACATTCAAAACGGATTGTTTCACAACGGAATCGTCGCTATAGAGCACTGTCCGAGTCGTACGGGTTGTCGGGCAGTCATCAGACAGCGCGACACAAATGTCACCTTTTTTCAAGTGGACGACAGTTTTATGCTTACGTTGAAAACACCGGAGGGAAAGAATATTTGGGTGGACTATATTCTGGCCATTCCTGTCGATCATTACGATCCCGCTATACTTGATCTCAAACCAGAAGACAAGAGCTCTAATCTCATCACTCAATGCTTTCAAAACGCGTTTTACATGAATCCAGACGAAGCCAGTGGTAAGTCATTGAATGCATGCAAACGAATAAATTTGTTGAGAATATCGCTATGAATATTGGTTTACAGAATTGTGTCGTTCGTTCATATTCTCAATTACTGTTGACTTTAATGGTGGAGCTCTTCCCTGTCAGTGCAACACCGATGGCTCACATGATTATAAAGTATGCACTAAAAATATTGCCAAATACACAGTACATTTACCTTATAATAACGATAATAATTTGAACTAAAGTGCAAAGCATTTGGCGGTCAATGCAATTGTAAGCCCAATGTTATCGGAAGAACGTGTTCGCGCTGTAAGACTGGATTCTTTGGTTTCCCTCATTGCAGGGCTTGTAACTGCCCGTCAACTGCAGTGTGCCATCAGGTGACTGGTGAATGCATTTGTCCCCGGTTTGTACTTTTGCCTCCTAATTATTTAAATCAATTTAAATCAAGCAATTTATTAATATTTGTGAATCAAATAATCAGTGGAGTAACGGGTGATCAGTGCAACAAATGCCTTCCCCTAACGTTTGGTTTTGATCCCATCATTGGATGCGTTGACTGCGATTGCGAACCCTATGGCGTACAGAATCGGGACCTCCAATGCGATGTCGAGACCGGAAACTGTAACTGTAAACGCAATATCATTGGCCGCACGTGTAGTAAATGCAAACCCGGTTTGTATTCACTTTTCTTTACATAACAGAAAAGCATTTGAAATATACAAATATTTTGTAACATAAAAATACTATTGAATTGATTCAGGCTTTTGGTCGTACCCTCACTGCCAACTGTGCAGATGTGATCTGAGAGGCGCGACGGACGACATCTGCGATCAAAGCACTTCGCGATGCTTTTGCAAGGAGAACGTTGACGGAGAGTATTGCGATCAATGCAAACCCGACTCATATTATTTGGAGGAAAACAATTCGTTGGGCTGTACGAAGTGCTTCTGTTTTGGCACTACTGATCGCTGCACCAGTTCTTCGCTTCGAACCGTTCAGATACTTGATATGCAGAAGGGCTGGAATGTGGTCACTCTACTCTTCACCGATACCATGGGAATGGAAGTGCATCTCATTAATAAAGATCACATCAATGTTGAGTACGAGTCCGGACGAGTTAAGTGCAGACAACCGGCGCTCAGACCCGCCGATTCGACGGCCAATTTTATACTATACTTCTCTCTACCGGAAGAATATTTGGGAAATCGGATCACATCTTACGGCGGAATTATTAAATATAAATTAGTGAACACTCGAGACAAAGATAGGTCTGACTCGACGGGAATGGTTGCCGCGGATCTGGTTTTGAGGGGCAATAATATTACCATAATTCACGAACACATCGAACAGCCCTCTCTGGACGACCCCTTCGAGTTCAGCGCTAAACTTGTGGAGAGAGAGTTCAGACATTTGAATGGACACGACGTGAGTCGGGAACAAATGATGATGACTTTGGTTGCTTTGGACGCCATTTATATCAGGGGAACATATTTTGAACCCATTTCTGACATATATTTGGAAAATGTATTACTGGACAAAGCGGTCGACGGACGCCGTGTAGCCGACGCTCCCCGCGCTTCCACTGTATGTTTAGTTTTAATATTTTACAACAATTAGTACACATTTTAAATTCAATTTCTAACTGATAGGTTGAACAATGCATATGTCCGCCAAACTATAGGGGAACTTCTTGTGAGGTAATGTAATACAAATCAAGTATTGGTGTCCTATTTTGTAAACGATGTAAACTATACAGGAGTGTGCGCCGGGATATTTCCGCGCTCTAACGGGGCCTTATCTGGGTTTTTGTGTTCCCTGTTCTTGTAATGGCAAATCAAGTGAATGCGATTCCGTCACTGGAAAGTGCTTTAACTGTCAATACAATACAGAGGGTGATCACTGTGAACGATGTGTCTCAGGGTATCATGGTGATGCCACCAGGGGTAATTTACCGTTTCAATTTTAACTCCATTATACGCTAATGTAGGTCACGATAAAACCTAATTTATGACAATTGCATTTTAGGTACTCCTTATGATTGCCTAATATGCGCCTGTCCTCTACCACTGGCCAGCAATAAGTATTTATTAATTAAATCATTTGAAAGATAATTTGTATGGAAATAATATATTTATGTATTTAGTTTTGCCACGAGTTGCGAAGTGTCTCACAACGGTCTTGAGATCAGTTGTCAGTGCAAAACAGGTTAAATCTATTCATAAAGTTTATACAATACAAGAATAATAGCAATTATAACGTTTGATTAGGTTATTACGGTTCCCGATGTGACGTGTGCTCTGCCGGACACTTTGGACGACCAGAAGTGATTGGCAGCAGTTGTCAGGCGTGCAGTTGTAGCGGAAATATTGATTACAACAATCCGGGCAGTTGTGAGTCCACTACCGGTGAGTGTCTTCAGTGTCTTCACAACACGACAGGCCGTGGATGCGAACTCTGCAGCTCTGGTTTCTATGGAGACGCCATTCAGATGAAGAATTGCTCCAAATGTTCGTGCGATGAGTGCGGGACTGATGTCTGCAATCACTACACCGGCGACTGTAAGTGTCGGCCAAATGTTGTGGGCAATGGCTGTGAGCGCTGCGCAACCGATCACTGGGCCTTCAAGTCTTGTAAAGGGTGTCAACGATGTCACTGTCAGTTGGGTTCAGTGGGCACCGCCTGTGACGACGAGACGGGCCAATGCAAGTGCAGACCAGGGGTTACCGGTCAACGATGTGACACCTGTGAGGCGGGCTTTTGGAAATACAGTCAATTCGGCTGTACGTCCTGTAACTGCGCTGAGAAGTACTCTTACGGCGCTGTTTGCGACCAACAGTCGGGTCAGTGCCAGTGTTTGCCCGGAGTTGTGGGCGACAAGTGTGACAGTTGTCCCCACAGATGGGTATTCATTGCCAAAACGGGTTGCAATGAGTGCGGGCCGTGTGTTCACGAGTTGTTGGACGACACGGACGCTCTCAAGCTATTGATCGATCCGTTGAGACACGAAATGCAAGACACGTCCTCAACAGTGTTCGCTTTCAGACGACTCAGTCATGTCAACAGATCTTCGCTAAACATCGAGGAAGCGGTCGAAAAGATGAAACAAAATCCCAAACAAATTGATTTATTACCGCTCTTTACGAGCGCTCAGAATCTGAACCAAGAAAGCGAATCATTGCTCAGTAAAGTATGTCTTCAATTCGTAACTATTTTTGTAATACTTTTTTAAAAATTAATTTCTAAATATTTTGAATTTCAGAGCGAATCTGCTCTCAAAGAAGTGGCAAAAATATTAGTCGAAACCCTATCCGTGAGAGACGACTCTTCAATGAGTGATCAACTAATAAGAGAAGCCATTATGAAGTCGGCTCTTGTGGTCGAAAGTCTGAAACAATTGGAAGAAGGCTTTGGATTAGCGTCGGCTCTAATCGGACAAAATATTGAACGCAAGGTCTCTGAAGCCGAATGGATGGCACAGGAGGTCAGGAATAAGAGTTTCGCCGAATCGCACAATAACTCCAACAATGAATTAAAAGAAGCGAAACTATTATTTGACAAAATGAATGACTTTAAAGTCCCCGCATTTGCCGCCAAACAAAAGATCAATGAAACCATTGATAATGTGGTGAATGTTATCAAACTATTATCAGAACTAATGAACAAAAGTCACGAATCGCTCAAAATTGTTGTCAAAGTAGAGGAACTGAATACAGAGATTCAGAGCAGACAATTCGATAGAGATATCACTAATTTGAAGGCAAGTAGTGAAGAAGTTCTCCAAATACTCAACAAATCCAGAGAATTAGTCGAAGAGACAAAGAAGTCTTCCACTTCTTTTGAGTCACTAATCGTTGATTTGATTCAAATGTCTCGACGACTAGAGAGCGATACGATTAAAGTGAATGAATCTAAAGCTAAACAACACTCAGAGGACAACGAATACGGACCGCTTCTAACAAAAGCCGAGTCTCACGTGTCATCTCTTCGGAGACAAAGCGATGAATTGGAGCGAATGTTTTCCGGAACCAGAAGTAGATCTAACGACCCGTTAAAAGCGGCCAATGCTTACAATTCTATTATCGAAACGTTAGATAACGCGACCAAACTGTCCAAAGATGCCATCAGTTCCTCCCAAAAGGCTTCCGAAGATTCGACACAAAATGAATTGATTGGACGTAAGGATAAAAGCCATCAATTATCACAAGAATCGCATAAATTAAGTAATAAAATAGAGTCAGAGTTAGCCCAACCTCTCAACAGAGCTCTACTTAAAGTGAATGACATTGAAAAGCAAATCAATATATTATCGACTAATGAAACGTTGAAAAAACTTCCGGAACTGAAAGATCTGAAAGAATTGGGAGAGAAGGCGACGACAGCCGTGGATGCGGCCGATAAGGCGACCACAAAAAGTACAGATAGAGTCGTGGAAATTGTGGCCAAAATCGATGAGATAATGAATAGAGCGGCAAAAGTACCGCAAGATATGAATGATGTGAACAATGCTATCCGTCAGAGTCAGAGCTATATAGAGCACAGTTCTGACAAAAAACCGGATCAAAATCGTATCGAAGAAGTGAAGAACAAATACGAAAAACTCAAGACTCTTAGGGATGGATATAAGCTTAAGATCAATGATTTGCAGCGAAAGGTCGATTTGGCTCGACATCAGGCAAACCGAATCAAATTGGCCGCAGAATTGAGAACCGATTCCTATCTACAGCTCAATAATCCGGAATCACTTCGAGAGTCGGCATCGCATACAAAACTGTCGCTATTTTTCCGCACAACAGAACCCAACGGTCTGTTGGCTTATATCGGAAATCCCATATCAATCGCAAGAAAGCGAAATCTTAAACGATCCGAACCTTCGGAAGAAGTAGATCCAGAAGAAGATCAGACGTCGCCCTCTAATCGCAAAGTAGTATTACATGACTTCATGGCATTGGAGTTGCAGTCGGGATATGTTGTGCTGAACTGGGATTTAGGGGCCGGCAGTTCGACACCCATTCGTAATGAGAAGTACGTGAGTGACTGGAAGTGGCATCAAGTGATTGTCGAACGCATCGGCAAAGCAATCAAACTTGTGATCAAATCTCAGGGCGAAGTGGACTCAGTGGTGGAGACGTCAACGCAGGGCTCGTTCAGTGTCTTCAATCTCGATGAACACAATTCGCGAATATTTATCGGAGGAATTCCAGACAATGTTAAGGTTCAGGACGTGATTCAACACAAGAGATATAAGGGTCACGTCGAGGACATCGTTCTCGGGGAGAGTCCTCTCGGTTTGTGGAACTTTAAAGACTCGCATAACGTGTTCGGCGCTAAAGAGAGGGAGAGTTTAGTGAACTTAGACTCGTCTGACGGCTTGTACTTCGATGGCAGCGGTTATGCCATCCTTTCGAGAGGAAGACTTAACTTAACGAAAGAGACATACATTCGACTTAAGTTCAAGACGTTTGCAAAGGAGGGCCTATTGTTACTCATTGGACACGAACGAGACTTTTTAGCACTCGAGTTGAGGAATGGATTCATTTACTTCATGTATGACTTGGGAAGCGGTCCTTATATTCTCAAAAGTAATATCACATTCAATGACGGAAAATGGCATTCAATTGATTCCAATCGGTTCGACAAAGAGGGCGCCATTTCAGTGGACGGAGCGCTTCTCGATCACGGGATGGCCATTGGCCTCAACACTGAACTCTCGACCACCGATGATATATACATCGGAGGATATCCTAATCACCACCTGTTCTATGAGGTGACAAATGTTGACTTCGAGGGATGTATTAAAGAGTTACAAATCGGAACCGAACAGCAAAATCTGCAAAACCTAAAGGAAGTGTTGAGAGCAGTGCCCGGATGTCCCACTACTTCGGGACGAACCGCTTCTTTCAGCAACGACTCGACCGGTTATGTGGCCATCGATTCTGACCTTAATCTCGACCGAAACGTTCAAATCACTCTCAATTTCAAGACATTTAATCCAAACGGTCTACTCTTTTATGTGTCAAATAACGATCAGACCTCCCATTTAGCCATATATCTGGAATCGGGAACTCTTAGTCTTCGTGTACAACCCGGCGGAACCATTCGCACAGATGACCGCACCTATAATGACAAACAATGGCATTACATAACCGCCAGCTTTACTCCCGAAAGGCTGCGTTTGGATGTCGACGATATCAACTCATTCACGATAGAGACCAATGAAAAAAATGAATTAACATTAGGCGAGACTAAAGTCATATATTTCGGTGGCGTTCCCGCAGACATCTCCAAGCATTCAAACTTTGTGTCCAATATTCCCACGTCTTTTGTCGGCTGTTTAGGTGACGCCACTGTCAACGAGAAGTTTCAAAACTTTGCCGACACTCCCAACAAACCAAACGCTTCTCTCACAAGTTGTCCGCTCACTCATCACAAGAGTTTTGATAACTCAGACGAAGAAACTAAACCTTTAACAATGATTACGGATAGTCCGATGTCTGAGATCTCGTCAACAGCGCCATCAGTGCCAATGTGGTCGACATCACAGCCGCCACCCATAGGACAGTGCAAACTATCTCCCGTTCCCACCAAAGATACCAAACCGTTGGCACCAAATGTGGTTCGGTTTGGAGACACCCATTGGAGTCGACATGAATTCGCCATATCATCAGAAGTGGCCACAGGTTTGCTCGAAGAAAGCGGTTTCCAAATTGAGTTCAAAACCACTCACGAAGAAGGGGTCATATTCTACGTGACGTCCGCTAATAATATAGATTACGTGAGTCTATACTTATTGGAGGGTAAAGTGCATTACGCCTGGGATTGCGGTTCCGGACGAGCGATAATCGCGTCGAATAACGACTACAGCGACGGTCAGTGGCATAAAGTGACGTTCAGTCGGAAGGGAAGGAACGGAATGTTACGCATCGATGACGGGAAGGAAGAATATTCCGCCGCATCGACGGGAACCACCAACTCGTTGAACGTCAAGTCTCCCATATTTATCGGTGGTATTCCTGAAGAGTTGAGTAAATCGGCGAAAAACAATTTGCGCGGAATTGATAAGACGGGGTCTTTGCCCACATCAGTGGTCACATCATTTGGCGGATGTCTCGCAAATCTTAGTGTTCACGGAAATCAATACGAGTTTGAGACGGAAAGTGTGGGCTATAATGTATCCCAATGTGTGTCGAGTGTAGAGTCGGGTTCGTTCTTCCACTCAGACGGCGGTCACATCAGACTCTATGAGGAGTTCAGAGTTGGCTCACAATTCTTTGTCAATTTTGAGATAAAGCCGCGAACGCTGTCCGGAGTTTTGCTCGCAGTCTTCGGACAAACCGATTATCTCGTCATTTATCTAAATGACGGTAATCTGACCTTCTCTGTGGACAACGGGGCGGTAAGACATCTTATGAATGTTGGATTAGTACATAAACTAATTGTTGTTTGAATTTTGCAAAATAGGGTTCATTTAATGTGACTTTTATTCCGGTTTCAAAATATTACTTTTGCGACGGGGAATGGCATTCAGTACAGGCGAGTAAGATTAATAACGTGGTCACTCTTACAATCGACAAACAAAGCACAGACACGGGAATAGGCGTCGGAGGTGTCTCTTCTACCGATACTAAGGATCCGCTATATATTGGAGGAGTTCCGAGAGATGTGAGAGAATCTAAAGGATTGGTCGATAACTTTGTCGGATGTTTACGTATACTAGAGATGAATAGTCGCCGACACTCTCTAAATCAGGCCCGAGTCGAAGGACACGTTACTCTCAATTCATGCTCACTCTTGTAAACAACTCTATCTTTTCTTATCTGTTATGAGAAAAAAGCGATTAAATTGTTAAACGATAAGAATATAGAAAACTTAATGAATAATTAGTAATCAATAAAATTATTTCCTCTTTTAATTAAATTCATAAGCTTTTAACTAAATTTGTGTTTTCTTACATATAATTGAGAATATGTTAATAAAACGAATCATTTTTTGCTTTTTTAAATATAAAAAATATTTGAATATTTGTATGTCTTTTGAATATATAATAAAACTTAATGAGCATTGATTTGAGCGAAAAGCAAATTGAGTTTTTTATATAATACACACATAAGGTTTGAAAATTGATAATAGGATAGTATATGAAGTTATATTGTGTGTCGATTTTGATCCCTTAAAGCAGAGCTAAGAGCTGCACAAAAGCAAAAGCAAGTGCTGTTATTCAGTTCAATATTCTGTATTCATGTTTCCATAAAATGCATTGTATTTTGAAGTAACGGCTAATATGCGGCTCAGAAATGTATGGCTCGGTATAGCTATAGAGTAGAGTAAAGGCAATACTTTGTATACTATATATAACTTTATAGAATTTGATGCCTCAATAAACAGTATTGAATGCAATATATATTATATGGGAAGTGATGGCAAGTGATGGGAAGTGATGAGCATTTTATCAGTTCTATTCAAAGAATCCTTTGTTATTCACTCATGCGTTTAAATTGGACCCAAATAGAGGGTCAAAAAGGCCAATACATGAACAGCACTGACAATGCATTCAATAATTACCACTATATTCAAAGAAGTCATTCCTCGTCAATGCACTAACCATTGCTTTGTTTTTCTATTAGCTATATATAAGAAATAAATATCTTTATAATACGTATATTGTATACAATTGTACACTATATGCACAATACAGTAGAAAACACTGGTTTCAATCACATTAATACCAATATAGCGTAATTTATTATAATTTCTTCAATCAATAACACAATTAATAATAAAATCATAACTCATTCTTCAGTGACTTCAATATATTGCGAGTAAAACGAGTCAAACAAATTGCACACATATTTCCTTACACTCAAAGACTCAATCATTATATCATAAAGTGTTTGAATGAAAAGAGCAACGATTCAAACAGAAGTTTCATTTTCTCAAACCTCTAAATCCATACAATTGATGTCTAATTGATATCTACGTCCAAAATATGTTTCAGTTTACACTGCGATTATAGCTTAAAATTTTCGTTTTTCACTCGATATAACACAAAAGTTTAGTTTTTATTGAAGATTTGTGCGAAGATTGTGATACTTGTGATGATGGATGAAAATAGTCTTACAAACCAATGAGAAGCTTCACGTGAACGCAACTGCCTTAGCATTAATGCCACAGTTTTGCCACTAATATAGCAACAGTTACCGATCCCATTGACTTTGCCTCTCCCTTTGCAGCCAAAACTTTACTCAATATTCCTAATTAAATGTATATTCAATTATATTATGACCGCAAACACCGACACTATTATGTGATTCAGTATTGATTTTATTTTATTTGTCGATTCAAAACATGAGTACAAATAATGCATTAAATTCTGATGAATCCATTGATTGCAAACATAGATCGGTTGCAAATGTTGTTAATTCTAACTCATCGTCTCAATTGAATTTGTCGACCGATAATAAAGTGTCGTCTTTTCCGCAGTCCATATCTGAACCGGTTATGAATTTGACGTTAAATAACAGCTCAAAAAACGTGCAAAACCGACGAGATATGGACACCGATCACAGTTTGGCACAAACTATAGTCGGAGACGGAGAACGCGAGACCTGGAATAAAAAGGTTGATTTCCTGCTCTCCGTCATTGGTTTTGCTGTCGATCTTTCAAATGGTAAATATAGTAATCACTAAATTTACTCATCAATGTATTAAATTACACCTCAATTAAAGTTTGGCGATTTCCTTATCTGTGTTTCAAAAATGGTGGCGGTATGTAATCTTAAACTATTTTACTAATATCAGTTTTGTACAAACTTTCTCATTATTTTCATAACTATTTCGTACAAATCTGTTGAACTTTAAAATTTGATAAAAATTGCATTTATAGCGATAAAATTGCAATAAAAACAACAACATTATTTTATTCTGAATTTTAATGGAATATTTATGTAGGTATAAAAAAACAAATTTGCAATTAATTGCAATTTTAGTATAAAAGCATCTATATGATTTATATTCTATTACAATAGTACAGATTAATTATGTGTTTTTGCGGTAGTTTTTGAGAAATTATTTAATGAGACAGAAATTTTTAACCAAACAAAACATCGTTACGTTTTTGAGTTTGTATTCAGAATTATATCATAAACTAAAGAATTTCAATTGTTTTATTCAAAAAATATAATAAAAACTTAAAATATTAATTATGTATTTCAAAAGAAGTTTTTATTGATTAAATGAAACGTTTATTGCAATCTTAAGGCGAAATATTGCTTCAATTCGCAAAAACGTACGAAATGTTAAATATTCCAGAAATTTGAAATATAATTATCAATTGTTTTCAATTTTTGAAATTTAAAAAATAAAACTTTTGGTGACAACTAATTGAAAGTTTTTTCGTTTGAATATAATGAATGAGTTGTCATCAGCAGAATTGTATGCTAATGGCATCACGTAATCCCGTTTTCTCTCTACATCTCATTTCTGTCTTACTTTTCATCGTTTGGTTTCCACTTTTCTTATTAGAGTTAATTTGAAGGCATATCTAATACTAATAACATTTAGTGCATAGAATGTAGTGTTTGTGTCATTTTGTAAATTGTGAACACAATTCAAACTGTGTTTTTATTGTACACTTTTTAGGCGCGTTTCTCATTCCATACGTGATTATGTTAGCCGTTGGAGGGATTCCTCTGTTTTTCATGGAACTAGCGTTAGGCCAATTCCATCGCAAAGGAGCCATCACTTGTTGGGGCAGAATTGTGCCACTTTTCAAAGGTTTGACATCAAATCACATAATCTATATTCAATGCTATCAACTAAAGCTACACACAAACAACAATTATTATAATTTAAATGAAAAAATAGGGTAAGATTTACGGCAGTATTTTTGCACAAAGCAAATTCAAAATTGCTAAATTCAAACTTTGAATGCATAAATTAAAAACAAAATCAGGATGTTATTCAAATAATCAATACAGCATACAATAACAAAAAATGTAGAAATTATTTATTTAACTCAAAACATATTGTAACAGGATCATATTTTAGTGTTAAAATTCAAAATTAATTTGCAAGATAACTAAACAAGTTATTCACAAAATTCCAACGGATTGATGAATTAAAACTAAAGTAGAATAATTATTAAAAAGATGTTTTATTTTAAAATTGATTTTAGATATCAAAAATCATGATTAAATTACATAATGCTCGAAATGATTTGTACATTTATACTTCTTCATTAATGTTTTAATCACGAATAAAACCTTTGCCAAGGTGTTTAAAAATATAATTCTAGTTCTAGCTTAAGATTTAAATAAAAAGCATAAGTTATTTTTGCTTTTGATAAATAAAGATATTTATATTATATACTATGAACTTTTGATTAATGTGCACATCCAATTTCCATTGCATATTTCCAAACAAAACTCAATTTCAATACATATCAATACTATAAATACAATTAGAAGTTTTGATAGATTTTCATTATTTGGTGATATAGAACAGAAGAAAAACGAATAAACTAATTAATCTATTATTAATATTAATACAATTACAAAGTTATTAGATTAGAATACTATAATGTATAATGAACAACTTACTATTATAATTAATATAAAGTATTATTTAACATACTGTAAATTTATACATTACTTACACAATAAACAGGACTCAATACTTTACATAATAATAAATATATGTAATTAATATTCTTTAATTTTAAATTCAAAATTCAATACTTTATTTTTTATAAATAGTTAGTACAGTGTTATAATCACAGAGTAGTAAATATTGACAAAAAATTTGTTTTAGGTGTTGGCTATTCAGTGGTTTTAATAGCATTTTACGTAGACTTTTATTATAACGTGATCATCGCATGGGCGCTGCATTTTTTCCTATCGTCGTTCCAGTCAGAACTACCATGGACCAAATGCAATAACCCCTGGAATACTCCCGATTGCTATGAATTTCTTACCGACGACGCCATCCCTGTCTTTTCAAACACTACTTCTATGGAAACTCCACTTCGAAACGAAACTCAAAAACGAAAGTCACCGGCACTCGAATACTTCAAGTATTGCACATTTTATATCTTTTAATTATATGTTTACCAATTATAAATTATTATTATACTGCATTTAACAATTTATCTATTTTACATTTAATTTTTATAAGAATTATATGAACATTTTTACATTTCATATAATATTTTAAATATGAATTTATTTCACATTACATGTTGCTTTTATTGTTTATATTCTTAATATTTGATAGTATGTATGCATTTATTAATAATTGATAATCATTGATAAAATTTAAAATGTACATAAATATCTAAAATAAGACAGTACACTGGAATTTATTCATACAACAAAACAGGGCTTGGTAACTTTTAATTTATAAATTAGACAAACATTATTATAGATTTTGTGTAAATCTATAGTAAATGCATACAATAAATGATACAATACAAGCAACTACTAAAATAAGGTGTGCAACTTATACACCTACTGTATGGTATCTAAATAAACAAGTTTGTATTTAATGTAAAGAATTTACTATAAATGTAAACAGAATTGGACTTATAATATGCAAAACTGTCATAAAAAGCAATTTCACTGCAGCTTTCATTTTATTTGTTATATTAATGTTTCAATTATATAACGAAGTGTCGGCTAAATATAATTATAATTACAGTCAAATCCTATTTTGTCTTATAGGCTATAAGTTAATAAATAAAGAATAAAAATGGATAAATGTTTACAATTATATTGTATAGAATATAATGTATACATTCTATTCATCCATTAATGTTTGACCACTATTTGTATTATAATGTGCTTAATAACAGTAAATACCTTTATTGTGCGGATTATCTACATGTATGATACAGTTCAGGTATTAATGTAAAGTATTTCTTTATATGTATTCTCTTATTGTGTTCATTGATTTGATGTTAAATATCTAGAAATTGTTGGTGAAAATCACGTTTTTATTATTTCATATATAAAATTTTATACCTCATATAAAGTAATACACGTCTACTGACATTAGCGGACAAATGATTAGAATTTATGTAATTGAGTACATAATAAAAGGAATAGACTGTAGAATGAGTCTTACACTTGATTTGAAGCACAATCACATATATGTGAGGAAACGATTTGTCAATCGGTGGGCAAATTTCTAGTGCTTGTAATAAATTTGATGACAACAAGCAATTTCTTGCATCCCTGGCTTTTCATCAATTACTTCATTCACTTAATTCCCAATTTTCTTCTCATTCTTTCATTAACAGAATTATTCAATCATAACATATCTTATGATTTAGTTATTATATTAATAGCAAAACACTTTTACCATTATTTTTCTTTCGTTTATTAATTCTTGAAACTAACTTATATTATGTACTAAACATATAAATTTATATTATAGTAAATAACTTTTTTTAAAATGTACTTTTCAATTGATTATTTGAAGCTAAAAGTAAAATATATTTCACGTTTACATTTTAGCCGTGGATTTCTTCAGTTTAATTTAAGCCCTGGTATTAATAATTTGGGTTCAATCAGATGGGAGATAGCCTTAAGTTTGTTTGCCGTTTACGTTATTTGCTATTTCAGGTAAAAATTATTGCATTATTTTGTTATATAAATCTTGCGATTTATTGAATTATACTTTTTCTGTTTGTTTTTAGTCTTTGGAAAGGAATCTCCACTTCAGGTCTGTATTTGATTTTTTTATTTAGTTTTATTTGTTTAGTAGTTAGTAGTAAAGGAAAAGTTTAAATCATAAAGTTTTTTATTTTATTGTATTTTACGGTTTAAGTCAAATCTTAAATGTTTTTCTATACTTTATATTTTATTCATCCAATATTTGTGAATAGAATTAAGCAAAATATTATTAGTTAAATATAATTCCAATCCAGTTATCTATAATAAGATGTAATTAAAAACAAAAGTTATGCTTTTATATACTATATTTACTGTATTTTGCAATTATTAATTGAATTGAGAGATTATATAATCAAAATTTTGTTCTGCTTTTGGAGTAAAGTCTTAAACAGTTCTCACAATTCACATGAATGGTAGAGATTAAGGTAATGACAATCGAGTATACTTTATGTAACAATGATTAACGAGAATACTTAACTTAATGCAAAAGTACGGTCCGGTGGGCAACGCTTTTGAGTTATGGCTCACCTTATGATTAAACTCAAGGGAACTACAGATCTGTAAATGGGATTCAGTTCTTATATCTATACATTCATTGAGTATTATATAAGAAATACACGTTTTAAATGAGATTCAATTTAAATAATATTGCAGAATGCTTAAATGTTTTAATTATTTTTATATATTAATAAACTATTAGTAATATTAATCACAATATAATGAATTGTTTGTTTGTTTTTTGCGTAAAAATATGTTGGCCTAACACTACAACAGGAAAGGTATTATGTTTTTATTATTATATTAATAACGAAAGCTCATCTCCTAAAGCAAATCATATCAGTAGTTATTATGTTCATTGTTTTGATCAAAAGTAGTGACCATAAAGTATCCCTTATAACACCTTTCAAGTACTGATCTCTTGATTACCCCAAGTGTTTGAGTCTATAAAATCTTTAATGATTTCCGATTTGATGTCTTCTTATATACAGTAAATCTAAATAGATATATAAGACTTTGAATTCTTTGATCGCATCCACAATAGCTTTGTATCAAACCGAGAGAGAGAGAGAGAGAGAGAGAGAGGAAGGAAGTACTCCATCAATGCTAAGCACTGCTCGAGTGGTTTTCGTTGTCATTAAAGATTTATAGATTTTATTTTAAAAATCATTGAAAAGTTCAAAAAGAATTCATTGTTAAATAATAAAGAAAAATATGCAAAACTCTATAATATTATACATATAAATATGATTCAATTAACAGGTCGTGTGGTTTACGGCACTTTTCCCTTATGTAGTGCTATTTATGCTATTGATCCGGGGTATAATGTTACCAGGTTCATTAGATGGCATCAAGTATTATCTAACGCCAGACTTTAACGCACTTTACAACGCGAACGTATGGGTAGACGCGGCCACACAAGTCTTTTTCTCATTAGGACCAGGTTTTGGCGTATTGTTAGCGTTTGCCAGTTATAACCAATTCCACAACAATGTGCACAGGGATGCACTCCTTACCAGTGCTGTCAACAGTTTCACCAGTTTTTTGGCCGGTTTTGTCATATTCTCAGTACTCGGATATATGGCTCATCGCATGAAAGTAGATGTGAAAGATGTGGCCGCAGAGGGACCGGGGCTTGTATTCATCGTATATCCGGAAGCCATCTCAACAATGCCTGGCGGACCCATTTGGTCCGTTATATTCTTCCTAATGCTTCTTACTTTAGGACTCGACAGCTCAGTAAGAATTGCATTCTTTCTTATCATTCTTTCATCCCTTCAATCAATTTGTCAAAGTTTTGCCAATTTTGAATAATTTTATCCCTATATTCTACATATCCGTTGATTTTGAAGTAAAATTCAATTTAAATTTCATTGTCAGAACATTTTGTTGTAATTTATCTAATGTTAGACATTTCCCTCCCAGGTCAAATATATTCCTGGAAAATAGTTTTGGGAGGAAAGATATTTTATCTTCCTGAAAACAAGGAAAATAAATTTAAATGCGGTCAAACGATGACCAGTTGATGCATATAAATATTTTTACTAACTGAATACATGTATCTCAATATAGTTAAACATATTAGATTAAAATATTTTGTTAAATCTAATCAAGTGATTTAATTTAATTTAATTTGTAAATCATTTTTTGAACCAACTTTGAAAAGGCGCCCAAATAATAGACTAATGTTGTGTGAGAGCCTATGCCTCTATGAGAGCTCGTGCCTCATACAATTGTATGAAAAATAGCCAAAACTAATGACAGAAATACAACTTTTATTCAAAATTAAAATAAATGATTTTCAAATATGGATACTGTGGGATGTCTTCGAGATAATAGCCGTTCTCAGTATGGCGATAAGATCTATCATCGATGCAATACTTTGTTAAATGTCATGGTATTCTCAGCATTTTTAAGTACAGTATGTGGATCGCTTTAACATTTTTTAAAAGTAATACCAGTATAGTCGCCGTAGCCCACAAACCTCATGAGCTCGAAGATGATTATATCATATACACACCGTTGCCCATACCATATGCATAAACGTAGTGATTATATTGGCCAACTAATAGCCACTGTTGCCAGAGAAAGGCATGGGCTCACCGGCACCGGTGGCACGAGCTCTCTCTCTCTCTCTCTCTCTCTCTCTCTCTCTCTCTCTCTCTCTCTCTCTCTCTCTCTCTCTCTCAGCTCTAACTTCTTGGATAAAAATTGATCCCATAATGAGATCTGTTATCAATGATTGCCGATATATAGACGAGTGGTTCGTTGTAATAGATATTGTGTTTGAAAATGTGTTGCAAACGTACACAACAGTCACATGAAACAAATGCAATGGTTTGCCCATACAATACGTTTAAACACTATGTCTAATAAAAAGTCCATTATTTTTACATTAATGTACTTGTGTCCAGAAAGAGAGCTCGTGCCACTGGTGCCGGTGAGTCTATGCCTTTCTTTGGAAACAGTGGCCATTAGTTGGCCAATATAATCAATTGGTTTGTGTATTTGATTTCCAATTAGTCCCTAATTTAAAGTATAAACCAAATGTTTGTGTAATTCTAGTTGCATTCAAAGTCGATATAAGTGTTTGATTGAGTGATAAATCATGTCATGATATATATGAATAAACAACTCGCCTACTTCTATACACATATACTGCATACTACTTAAGAGTCATTCACTAACACGTTTATTAGTATAACTTTACAATGAATAGACAGACAAGTGTGGTTCTTTGAACAAATGTTTCTTTAATTAATATTAAATAAGAATATAACAATTTAAAAATATTTTCCCTCGAAAAAGTTAGTTCCCACACCTTTTATATTTTCTGGGAAATTCCCAATTTTTGGGAGGGAAGATATTGGGAAAACAAGAATATTCCCAAACGTGTCTAACGCTACTTATTATACACTATTACCCATAATTTAGAGTATATTAATAGTAATAAATTTTGTAAAAATAAATAAAAGTTAATTAAAGTTAATAAATAAATTGATAAGCTTAATTACTTTAAAAATTTTATATATTTTTATATTCTATTTTTTAGAGATGACTAAGGGTTGCAATTTTCGGGAATTTTCTCAAAAATATGCTAAAATTGGGAATTTTTACAAAATAAGCCAAAATCGTTGGCCAATATAATCAATTGGTTTGTGTATTTGATTTCCAATTAGTCCCTAATTTAAAGTATAAACCAAATGTTTGTGTAATTCTAGTTGCATTCAAAGTCGATATAAGTGTTTGATTGAGTGATAAACATGTCATGATATATATGAATAAACAACTCGCCTACTTCCATACACATATACTGCATACTACTTAAGAGTCATTCACTAATACCGTAAATACGTTTATTAGTATAACTTTGCAATGAATAGACAGACAAGTGTGGTTTTTTGAACAAATGTTTCTTTAATTGATATTAAATACAAATATAACAATTAAAAAATATTTTCCCTCGAAAAAGTTAGTTCCCACACCTTTTATATCTTCCGGGAAATTCCCAATTTTTGGGAGGGAAGATATTGGGAAAACAAGAATATTCCCAAACGTGTCTAACGCTAAATTTATCACAAAATGACATAAATTATTCGAGTAAAGTGAAAACTATACATTTTATTCTTAAAAATATAATACAATTATCCGTTAGAGAATGAAAGACTATCACATTCTTATCATCATATTTATCATTTACATCATTAGACTGACCGCTCATATCATGTGAAACACCATTTCATGTGTGAGCGCACATCTAACAAGTGTCTACTTATTTTCTATTCAATTCTCGACCGAGTATTCAACCAACACCTATGTTAGCCTTTGTAATCATTTTTAAAAAGTATAATTGAAAATGTTATTATATAATATACAGATGCTATCAATTTTGATGATACATGAACACATTGAAGTTATAAAAACTTTATTTATATAATTGACAGCACTTTTGCAACTCTTGCATAAACTTATTATAATTGATTTCAAGTGATATATAAATATTTGAATAGTTTGGTGGCAGTGAAGCCATAATTACAGCTCTAAGCGATGAATACGGAATAATAAAGCGGAATCGGGAGTGGTTTGTGGCCCTTCTCTTCTCACTCTATTTTATGGTCGGACTCCTCAGCTGTACTCAGGTATGAATGCAGACTACAGTATATCTCGTGTTTTTGATGTTTAAATATAAATAATTGTCAATTGAAAGGGTGGCGCATATATAGTCAATCTTCTCGATCGTTTTGCTGCCGGATATTCCATATTATTTGCGGTACTCTTTGAAGCCATTTCTGTTTCTTGGATTTACGGTTAGAAACTAATATCAATTGAAAACATGAACTAATAATCAAATTATATAAATTAATTTCAGGTGTGAGACGCTTCTCAGCAGACATCAAATCAATGCTAGGCTTTGAGATTTCAATTTGGTGGAAATTCTGTTGGGGTTTTGTCGCTCCATTTTTCATTATGGTATAAATATACTAATTGTATTTTAATTATAATAATATAATAATAAATTGTAATTATATATTTTTTTTATTTAGTTCATTATATTCTATGGTTTGGTCAATTTTGAGCCCCTTAAGTATGATCAGTACGTATACCCGCTTTGGGCCAATGTGTTGGGTATGTGTATCGCCGCCTCATCGGTCCTTTGCATACCAGTGATGGCTTTGTGGCAAATATACAAAACTCCCGGAACTTTCAGAGAAGTATTAGATTTGTTGGATGTATTTTAAATGGTTATAATTAATAACGATTATATAATTTGTATAAAGCGTATAAAAACGTTGACGACTCCGTGGCAGGACACACAAGAAGCCATTGCTTCCCTCAATATTTCTCAAAATATCAAAAATAATACAATTGTAAATAGGAGTTCCAGTGCAGAACTGGCCCAACCAACTGATGTATAATATAATACATTACTTTGTTATTTATATACAATTTATTATTTAAAATGATTTCTTCCACATTTCTAATAATTAGTTGTATGTCTTATACTATTATTTTAATATTATAGTTGTTAATGATGTTATGATAATTTGTTTTAATTACTAGATATTTTATTTTTGCTGATTTATTTAGTATTGCAATATATAAAGCATATATAATTTGTAATGATTTATAAATGAGTTGTAATTTCGTTATACAAAATACATTGCAAGTAATTAAACTTTTTTCACGTCATATATAGTTTTTATTATTTGTAATAAATTGTTAAATTTATTTTAGATTCTATAACCAAAATCAAGGGAATCGATGGACTAAAACTTAAAACAATTACTAAAAGCGATGTCTTTTATAAATATCTCATTATTCCATACTCTAATCCCAACTAATATTTTAGTTGCTATTAATAATACTAAACAATAGATTTCTTCTAAATGTTTGCCAGTTATTAAATACGATATTATTGAAACTCAACCATAACTTATGGTTATGTCTAAACAGAGTTTTTAAAGATATTATAAAGATTTAACATAATAATGATTATAGTTGCCATCATTTCTAGTAAATTACTTTAAATCATTTCCAACAACTTTCAACATATTATGTCTTCAATTCAATGATTACTGTATTTCCAGACACAAAGCGCTCAAATAGTCGTTTTATGCAATAATATCTGATAAATGAATTTTAATTAATGCATATAAATATTAGATATGGTTTACATATTGTGTTTCCATCATAAAGTTGAACATCTTGTTTGATAAAAGCAATCCATAAAAGCTTATACTGTAAAACATTTGATAACAATTAATATTAACTCCAATTTACCATTTGTTAGTTTCCATATTGTTTTGTAAGTCATTAATAGATTTAAGAAATGAGTTAATCAATATTTGAATCATCATTATATTTGTTTTGACACCATGTAAAAATAGCATTTCTTTATACATTTATCGATAGTTTAATTAACATAGATTTGACAAATAGTTTTCAATTAACCAAACATAAGGTAATTGACTGATAATTGTAAATATGTTTTAAAAGCTAAATAATATCCAAAATACAGCATTATAAAGATTAGTTATCTATATAACATTGTATTAAACATTAATGCAATCTGAATTATTATAATATTATCTGTATATATCTTGTTGTCTAAATATCAGATGCCTTAATATTATATTTAATTAAGACATTACATTATCAATGATTAAAAATATGAGACATAAATAATTTTAGTTCTCTAACATTTCTATTGCCTATTATAATAAATAAAATACATAAAGGATCTAGTTTAGTCAATATATTGTTAGTCAATTATATATTACATATTGTATAGTATGTAATATATAATATATATTATATAATGTAACCAATTTGATAGTTTTTAGTGATGTTTATGTTAAAATTATTTAATAAGGAAGTTGTATTAATTTAATTATTATTTTTAAAATATATTGTAATAGAAGAGTAATCAAAATTTAATTTTATTAAAATCAAAATTAAAGTTATAGTTCATTCATAATTGTTTAATTTATTTCGAATCATTGAAATATAAAGTTAAAACAAAAATAAATTAAAATTTATATATTATATTATTACTGTATTATTATTATTTTAATTGTTATTATATATTAGTAAAATTGCAAGTATTTAAAATATAGTTAGAAATATAGTCAAATTATTATTTAATTGTTACATTTACATTTAAATAATTTTCTGACCAATTAATACATATAGAATTATGTAATTCTAAATTCTAGAATCGATTTAATATACTGATATAAAACCTCTATAGAGTTTCATTTGGTATCACTATAGGGAGCTGTATGTAACTAATAAGCTAGATGTTTGCTAATATTTTGTTAACTTCAGGATTGTAAAATACTATATTTGCAAAGTATTTAATAATAGATGGTTAAATTTAAGTCAAATAAAATTAATAACTAAATTTATTATATTAATTTAGAGTTTACACAATTAAGAATATTTAAACTGTGGAATTCCAATAGTTTATAACTATAGTTAATATTCCTAAACTGAATATATCTTACTTTTTTAATATACAGTACTTTATTGAATTTTTAAATCAAATGTAGTAATGGTTTGGTAATGAAAAATGCAGACAAAGAGCGCTTAAGTGGAATTGATCCCAACGTACAGATCTTTTCAATGGTCAATGATTATGATAATTGTGTCCAGTATTTCAGGATGATTATAATCAGATGCAGTTTAGAACAAAGACAGATTGTGCAAGCAACTGTCCCATGATACTAACCAGGACATTTTTATAATAATAATTGTAGTTGTGTTTAGCACTAAATCAATTCAGTTTTATTTTTTAATAGAAAATATTTTAATTAAAAGACAATGTTATATACAATGATTGCTGTTATTTACAGATTTCTATAACTTAATTAATAAATAAAAACCAAATAAAATGATTGTAAACTTTGTAAAATACTTTCAATTCATACATTAAGTTTTGCAAAACCTATTTATTATACAAATATTAATTGTATTGCACTGTAAGGAAAGTAACAATTTTGCAGTTTTAACAAACATAACAATTATTCAATAAATCAATGGTTTATAATATATTGTAAACTCAATTTGTAATTGATGAGGCAATTTTAAAATTATATTCATTACAGTTCAGTAAATTTGGTAACCTTTCAGTGCAGTAACTTAAAGTATAAAAATTACAACTAGATTATTATTTGTTTACATAATTTCCTTAATTATTAATTTCTAGTTTTGACGATTCAATCGATACTTTATCTTCTATTCAAAGAGTTGTCTAATATTATTAAAATTATTATTTGTATAATAATCGCAATAACCTGTAAAGAAATGATACAATTTTATTAAAAATTCTATTAAATATCAAACATATCGTATAACTATCTTATGATTTATAATAATAATATGATAGTTACGATTATTAAAGATATTATTTATAATAATAACTTAATTTAAATATTAATTAAATTAATAAAATAGTTAATTTTGTTATTGTAATTGTGGTGTGTGTTTGTTTGCCGAGTAATTATATTTACTAAATAAATGATTCAAAAATATTGTACCGGATTTTGAGTACAATATATTTAATTTTTATTGATTACATATTTAAATAAAAATTTGTTTAAATAAAGGACCAAGTTCAATTTCAATGAACAAGTATTCATTGATCTAGATCAAATAAATAATCCTAGATCAATGAATACTTATTCATTGATCTAGGATTATTTATTTGTCGAGCAATTCATTAGAAATAATTTTGGTCATTGAGACCAACAGCTTATTCTTGATTTCACGCATTTTTATAATACAATCTAAATTGAAATCAAAGAAATTATTGTCAAAGAAACACGTCTTCATTGGAAATCATCTTTTGTTAAATGTATTTCGTGTCTAAATAAAAACAATTCAATTCAAATAGAAAACCGATTGATTTGAACATTAAATATAATTTTAAAAACTGCTAAAGTTTTTGAGAATCATTACTTTCTTTCCCAAATAGGGCTCTAAAGACTATTTTCTCAATTATATAATCAAATATTCATTATTGTAATCCTTTCTTTGCGTACTCTTTAATATGTATAATTTACTCGATATAACGGTCAGTATAACAAAAACATACAAATAATATAAATAATAAAGTGTTCAAATGATTATCTATTTATTGTGTTCTTAAATAATTTAAACAACGATTGTATACAAATTTCTCGCAACCATTTATTTTGCATCAATTATGATTGCAGTGAAGTTTAGCGTAGTTTAACAAATATATGCAATTGTGCTCACGTTTATGATGCATATTTCGATTGTATTACTATTTCTATGTGCGCTCAACACTCCAGAGCCAAACAGTTGTTTATTAAACCCAGATATAAAGAAATATTGATGTAATGCTTATATAAAGGTGTAAAGCAGTGAAGAGGCTTATAAGGGGTTAAAAAAGTTTTAACACACAATATAAAAATGTACAGTGTAGAAAACTACTGGACTTAAAAATTAAATTGTATTGTGAATTAGAATTTTTCGTCATATCATACTCTAGCATATGTTTAGTATAACTTGTGAATAATATTAAAAATAAACATGTACAGTTTATTTTTGCCATTATTTTTATAATTAGTTTAATAAAATTTAATAGTAATCATAAATATTCATTGATAGTGTAAAGTAGTTGTAAATTTGTTTAATAATTATAAATTATTTACTGTATTGTATTGGCAATTAAAAAACTTACTTTTGTTAAAATATATTAAATATTAGTGAGGTTTGAAGAAAATGATATAAACCAAAAGGCAATCAATAAGTTTTGTTTATTTCATATCACAATTTATACGATTCATAATTGCAA